TCATGATCACCATCATCATCATCAGCAGCATCATCAGCATCGACGTCGTCGTCGTCATGATCAACATCAGTTGAATCACAATCACAATGAAAATTAGAACAGTAATGATCATAATAATCACAAGAACCGGAATAATGATAATAGGAAAATCATCATAATAATAATCATCATCATAAGCATCATCATCAAGAGTATCACAATCATCATCATCATCATCATCATCATCATCATCAGCGTCAGCATCAGCATCAGCAAAATCATCATCAGCAGCATCACCATCCGCAGCAGCATCATCGTCATCGGCATCGTCATCATCATCAGCATCATCAGCATCGTCATCGTCATCATCATCGTCATGGTCATCAGCAGCAGCAGCATCATCACACCGACATCGTCATTGTCATCATTATCGGCATCGTCATTGTCATCGTCATGGTCATCATCATCGTCGTCATCATCAACAACCTCATCATGAACGTCAACATCATCATCAGTATCATCCTCATCATCCTAATCATCATCATCAGCATCATCACCATCATCACCATCGTCATCGTCCTCGCCATCATCAGAATCGTCGTCGTCATCAAAATCCTCACAGTCATCATCATCAGCATCAGCATCAGCATGATAGTCATCGTCGTCGTCATCGTCAGCATCGTCATCATCATCATCATCATCGTCGTCATCGTTGTCATGAACATCATCAGCATCGTCATAATCCTTTTCATCATCGTCCTCATCATCACCGTCATCAGCATCATCATCATCATCATCATCATCATCATCGTCATCAGCATCGTCATCACAATCATCATCATCATCATCATCATCATCATCATCATCATCATCATCATCATCATCATCACTATCGTCGTCGTCATCACCGTCACCACCACCACCACCACCACCATCATCACCATCATCACCATCAGCATCATCATCATCAACAACAGCAACATCGTCATCCTCATCATCGTGGTCGTCACCACTGGCGTCGTCCTCTTCAACACCAGCATCAGCATCATCAGCATCATCAGCATCATCATAATCGTCGGCGTCGTCATCAGCATCATCATCACCACCATCATCAGCACCATCAGCAGCATCGTCGCCATCGTCATCATCAGCATCATCATCATCATCATCATCATCGTCATCATCAGCATCGTCATCAGCAGCAGCATCCCAATCATCATCAGCAGCATCATCATCGTCCTAGTCATCGTCATCGTCGTCATTATCCTCATCTTCATTCTCATCATCATCTTAATCATCGTCCTCCTTCTTCTTTTCGTCACATCCTCCTACATCTCCTCCTCCTTCTCTTCCTCCTCCCCCTTTCTCCTCCTAAGCTAGCCCGACACTCAAGATAGTTTCACCTCCAGGCTCCTCATCCTCATCCTGTTCAAACCCGCCCTCCAACTCATCAGCAGCACCATCATCAGCATCATGAACATCATCATCATGAGCATCATCATCAGCAGCATCATCAGCATCATCATGATAATCAGCATCATCATCATCAGCATCATCATCTCCATCATTATCATCATCAGCAGCAGAATCCTCATCACCATCATCATCAACAGCATCATCGTCTCCATCATCATCATCAGCATCATCATCATCTTCAGCATCAGCATCGTCGCCATCATCATCATCATCATCATCATCATCATCATCATCATCAGCATCATCATCGCCATATACATCCCCGTCCTCATCATCATCATCATCAGCAGCAGCAGCATCATCATAATCGTCCTCATCATCTTCATCATCAGCATCATCAGCATGGTTATCATTCTCGTCATGGTAGTATTCGTCGTCGCAAGCGTCGTCGTCGGCGTCGTCGCCGCCATCGCCATTGTAATCGTAAACACAGTCGCTTCCACATCATCAGTAGTCATTATCGTCGTCATGGTCGTCGTCGACGTCGTCGTCGTCATCATCAATATCAGCATCATGATGAATCAGCATCACAGTCATCGTCATCGTCATCGTCATCCTCTTCGTTGTCATCATCAACATCATCAACCGCAGCGGCAGCATCGGGATCATTATCATTATCCTGATCATCCTCATCATCGTCCTCATCATCATCAGCATCATCACCATCATCATCAGAATCGCAGTCATCATCGTCACCATCATCATCATGACCATCATCAGCAGCATCATCACTATTGTTCAAAACGACAGCAGCCGCAGAATCATGATTAATCTTGGGATGCAATCGTCGATGCCCCTGGGCTGATCAGTGGCACTCAAATTGATTATTTGATTTCCGAGGGGGGGAACCGCCGAGCGAGATCCTGTCGCACACAGAAAAAAATATGAATTTAATGATTCCGCGGGGGGGCGGCTGGAGTACGAGGGGTATGAGAGGAATCCATATCGCGTCCTCGTCAAGGAAGAACTCTGCTTGGGCTCATGTTGCAATCTTCTTGAGCTCTCGTTGGAATCCGAGTGGGGCCTCGTGGGACCCCCATTGGCATCTCGGTGGCATCCCGCTCTGCGGGATCCAGGGACGGAATGGCACTACCCGGGGGCGAGAAGCTCTGCAGCTTCGCCGGAAGGAGGGCGGGCCGACAATCGCAGCCCAGGGTAACAAGGGGAGACCAAGAGGTGCCGATACCGCCGCTCCCAGGTCTCTCGGGTGCTTCCTGACCAGAACTAGGGGGCCACCTGCGAACCCGACCCCTGCCCCCCACGACTTCCGAGGGGGAGGGTGGGGTTCACGTCGTGCGGGAGCTCCCGAATGGAATGAACCCCACCCTCCCCCTTAGAAATCGTGGGGGGTAGGGGTAGGGTTCGCATTTTGAAGGGGCCCTGGGACACACACACACACACACACACACACACACACACACACACGTAAATTTGGCCCCTTAAGGATTTCGAGGCGCACCCGGCGGTGGCGGCGAGGGCCCCCCGGGAGGCCGGAACAGGGGAGCACGGGCGCAGGGCCGCGGCATGGCCACCTCCTCCTCCGCCGAGCAACCGTCCTCACCCTCGTGCGCCCTCTCCTCCGCCACCGCCGCCGCCGCCGCCTCCTCCTCCTCCTCCTCCTCCTCCTCCTCCGCCTCCTCCTCCGCCTCCTCATCCGCCTCTTCCGCCTCTTCCGCCTCCTCCTCCTCCTCCTCCTCCTCCTCCTCCTCCGCCTCCTCCTCCGCCTCCTCCTCCTCCTCGAGTTTCGTGGCTGGCGTATCGCGTCCTGGCCCCAGGCCTCTGGAGGCCTCCTGCAGGGGCCTCCCGGAGGGCCTCCCTCCCTGGTGGCCTCTCGGGGGCCGGGCGGGGGAGAGGCGAGGGGCGGAGGGCGGGGGCTCGACGGGCCCTCCTCCGAGCAGCTGGAGGCGGTCAAAGTCTGACACGCAAAACCTCGGACACGCTTGGCGGCGAGCGAGAGGGGAACTTCGAGGCTCGAACTTCGAGGCTCTAGGTTTTCAGAGGTTTTCGTAGTTTCTTGGCGGTTTGCCGCCCTCGGGATGCGTTCCAGCGGCTGCGCCTCGCCGAGAGCGTTCCAAAGATGCCCGGATCGTCCCGAACGGCCGCCAGAGAACCGAGTTACGAGCCAAAAACGAATTCGGCGGCGAGTGAGGGGGGGAAGCGAGAAGGAGAAAGCCTTCTCAGGAGGCGGCGGGGCTTCTCAGAGCACTCGCGCCTTCTGAGAGGTTTCCTGCGTCTTTGGGAAGGCCTGGAAAACTTCTCCGAAGGCCAGGGGACTTCCAAGCCTTCTGAGAAGGCCCGCCCCTTCTCACTTCTCCCCCGGGCTCGCCGCCGAAACGTACAGTCGATCACTAGGGACCCTGAATAAGGAACGAGGCCACTCTTTTCCCATAAAGGAGAAACTTCGTCTTCCCGTCCAAAACCCAATGAATACCTGAGACAAACTGAAAAGCAATTAAGAAGCACTAAGCCCCTCTCCAGCGAAAAGGGTTCCTTCTTCAGCGGCCCGACTGTAAGTTGGCATACGACACCTTAGGTACGTAGACAAGCGCGCTCCACTGCTCCACTGGCCCGGATCCGCCGGGGGGATTTGCGGTCAAGTACATCGAGGCAGACGTTTGTTTTTCGGACGTTTGCGAGTAGGCACTTTGCGAGCAGTGGAACGCGCTCTGTGGGTACAGCAGGTTCGCGCCGCGTCGGCGCGCGCCAAAGGTTTTTGACGCGCGTCGCTCGGTGCTTCCGCGTCGCAGAAATCGGGCTTGAACGCCTTCGCCAGCGTCACCAGCGCGCAAACGCCGTATGACCCTACCGCACGGACCGAAATCCCTCTCGGGCCCCACCTGCGCCCTAGCTCGAGAAAGGCCAGAAGAAGTTCATTGGACGGGCCAAAAGACCACCGAGTCCCTTTCGAAGCCAGCTCATTTTACCCCAAAGCTTCGACTGTACACGACAAGACGACCAGCCCTTGACTGGCAATGAGGCTGCAATTTGAAAGGAAGCCACGCTTGGCTGCAGCGGGTCGCGTTTTCTTACGACACGCACCGTTGCCGTAATTTCCACCGAACCCAAGTGCGTGCAAGGCCAAATTGATGTCCATGCACCCTCCACCCTTTTGGTTCCTCCCTACACCCTCCCGACATTCTCATGTCACTCCCTTGTCCATCCACCACCAGGTCTGACACTTTCAACTTGAGGGATGAAGGACTCCGACTTTGCAAAGGACCCTCCACAAGCCCACCTGACACCGCACCTCTGACACACCGGTCGCACAGAGAAGAAGCATAGAGCGGAGAAGGAGATGGCGATTGGGCGGCGGCGCGAGGGTGCACCAAAGTAGACGTGAAGAAGGAAGCGTGAACGCACACCGAGCAGCACACAAGTACCAGCAGCAGGGATGAATCAGTTACACTGGTGGCCGCCGAAATGGGGCCGACGAGAAAAAGGGACCAGAGAATCATACCGCACCGACAATGCATCGGCGATGCGGCGGGACCCTCCAACCCCATCTGCTCCGGCACCATCTGTACGGCCTGGACGGATGGAGGAGCGCCTTCTTGAACCAGAACTCCTCGGCGTTCCGGGTTCCCAGCAGCTCATCCCCGAGCTCGCCCTTCCAATCAGTATCCACCAGACCCCCTTCGAGGGTAAACCCAATCCAAGGTACCACGAAGAAACACGGGCAGATGATATACTGCACTGCAAGCAATCATGAATCTGCCTGTGGACCTGCCGGCGTCTTCTCACTATCCATTCCAAACGTCTGCAGGGCTGCCCAGAATGAACTTGTCGCGGCAAAAACCCGAACACCCCTCCAGCACACTGGTACCCGCATGGCTTTCTCCCAATAAGCTGCTATCCTCAGTCTCCACAGGGAGGAGTAGGAGTAGGAGTAGGAGTAGTAGTCAAGCTAGCCAGCTCGAGCGAGTCAAACATGGCATGCCCAGCCCCACCCGCCCTCCCACAACATAAGAAGCAAAGCTGGCACAACTGGGGGCCGAAGTCACACCGGCCAGCCGGTTTGGTACAGCTGATGCGGCCGCGATGGCGGTTGCCGACGGGAACTGGCGAGCGCGTGTTGAATGCCGCGCACGCATTGCCAGACGAGTCGAGAATGGCCCGGTACACCGCAGGAAGCCAGAGGTGGCCGGAGGAAGCCCGACGGTCTGACAGGACACCCCAAAGCATTTTTGTGAAAAAGCATTAGGTTTTTGATGTTTTTATGTTGAAATGCTTGCAAACACACGGTGTTCGGTAGGATTCTGACATGAACGCGCGAGTGTGCTCTTTGTGGTATTTTTTGCACAGGATTCGCGGCCTGGGTGCATGACAGAGCATCGCGAGTGCACCGCGCGATGACGTGAAATCGCTGGATTTGACAGAATTCTTAAGATTCCTATGGTTTTCCTATGATTTCAGCAAGAGAGCCCGGGCGGGAAATTTGTACAATGTTTGTGAAAAAACATTGGGTGTTTGATGTTTTTATGTTGAAATGTTTGCAAACACACGGTGTTCGGTAGGATTATGACATGAACGCGCGCGTGCTCTTTGTGGTATTTGTTGTAATGGATTATCGCCGTGGACGACAGGACGTCCATGTCGAGAGGAAAAAATAAGAAACATGTTGATTTTGTATTGTTTTTTACAGGTTAGGATGGGACCACCCGGATGCGCCCGCTATCTGCCGGCCTGAGGGGGGAGTAGGAGTATATTCTAATAAGGAATAAGGATAGGAGGAGGAGGAGGAGGAGGAGGAGGAGGAGGAGGAGCTGGGGAATGGCCACCCCTTCCGCAGGTCCAAACTTCGGCCCCCCGAGCTGGGTCTAGCCGCACTCTTATTTCGCACAGGCTGGCGACGCTGGTCAGCAAAAAACAAACTAAAGCGCAGGGTTGCAAGCCGATGCTGGCCTCTTAGACGGCCCAAAAGGTTGGAACTTTCCTCGACCACCCCAGGAAGCCTCCACGACGGCCCGTGAGGCCCGCAAGAAGCCCAGGCGAGGTGCATTGACTGGCTCGCCTTCGGGTAGGAATGGGAGGGGGGGAGAGGGAGAGGGGGGGAGGGGGGAGGGGAGAGGGGAAAACAGGGTGGGAAAACGCAGCAGCAGGACAAACGGGGTGGGATCAGGAGCAGCAGCAGCAGGACAAACGGGGAGGGAGATGACGAAGAAGAGAGCGGAGAGGAGGAGAAGGAGGGAGAGGAGGCGGAGGAGGAGAAGGAGGAGGAGGAGGAGGAGGAGGAGGAGGGGGAGGAGGCGGAGCGTAGCCGAGGGGTCCCGACGTTTTCCAAGCTGAATTACCACCCCTGATGCGCAAACTGCCGACCTCAATAATAGGAGAAGGAGGAGGAGGAGGAAGAGACAGAAGAGGAAGAGGACGAGCGAGCAGGAGAAGGAGGAGCAGGAGGAAGAGCGAGCAGAAGGAAAACGGAGAGATGGAGCAGGAGAAGGAGGAGGAGGGAGAGGAGGGTCCGTTGCAATTTGGGCTCAAGCTACTCGGCTCACAGCTGCTATATACATACTGGACTCCATTATGGACGGCGTGCACTACAAAAGTATCGATGATACGCCAGGAGAAGACAGACTTGCAGAGGCAGGCAGATGGCTCCGAGGCCGCCCTTACCAACACAGGCGGGTAGACCTTGCGACAAAGGCTACCACTGTAGAAGAAGATGGGGGACAATACTTCACGATCCGAAACATCAAAGCGGCCATGCGCCAATGCCCCAAGGGCCTATAAAACAAACGGATCCACATCTACAAGGCCGAATACTCAGATGATACAGATGAAACTACCATCGACGACCGAGCTGAAGGACAACACGACGGACAAGAACCACCTATACCGCTCCACATGAATACTGGCACGCTACCAAACAACATCCTGGCTGAAAGTCAGCCAAACGACTCCGCGGCGGTAAGGTTCGACGACTACATGCCCTGGATGCCCGACAAGGACGACTACGTCACCCTCGAGATCGACAGGAGTACCCCCTACAGTTGAACACCTCAAGGAAGCTATACACGCACATGAGGATCTGTTACATGAACCACAACTTCCACGATACGGCTTTGGACAACAGCACGAAACTCCACTACCAGCCCACGGTTTCAAATGGCAGTAAGTACTACGTAAACAGGCTGGACCCCCAAAGCAACCCCATCACGCAGGACTACGCGAACAACTACAGCCTGCCCCCCCCCCGTCTGGGAGCAACGGCAAACGCACGCTACAGATCCACTACGGACATCATAAGCGTGGAGAGCCCGACGATGACGATCATCAAAACATACGACTTCGATCAAGAAGTACTCGATACTGATACAAGCCACCGACAGCCGGAGGAGCGCACGACGTCCCCAGCGCCATGGGCAAGGCACGCCGTGCATTACGCGACGCGCACGGCACGCCGCCCCCGATATCTCCCGCTTGATCTACTGAGCGGCGCGGCCGGTCCTCTACCTCGCCCCCCCCACTCCCAGCTCAGGGCAGGTAGGCAAGGTGGCCTCCCTGCCCCCCCCCCCTTTCTGGAAATGAGAGAAGGATGATCGTACCAGAGGGCCCATCTGCATGTGCCCACCCCGTGGGGGACAGCGCCCGCACTATGAGTCGGGATGCCCCCCAGAGACGCGTGCGCCTCAAGGGCAGCGCACAGTGAGGTGAGAGGTAGAGCTATGCAGGTGTTGCCACCGGCCAGGCCTGCACCATCGTGGAAACGGCCCCACCGGTGGCGCCTGGGGGGGGGGCCCGCGGCCGCGCGTCCAGGGCCCGCGCGTGCGCGGGCGCGGCCGCGCGCGGGCGCGGAGTGGGCACCGCCGAGGCGGCTGCGAGAGAGAGGGAGAGGAGGCAGAGGAGGAGGGACAGGAGGAGGTAGAGGAGGAGGGAGAAGAGGAGGGGGCGGGCGAGGAGAGGATACTTGTTACGGCATCAGGAATGGCCCGGGTGGAAGCACAACGCGAGTAACACGGGCACGAATGCTTGGCCAGCTTTTGTGCCCCCCAAGCAAAAGACGGCAGCGGTGAGGGAAACGATTACGAGAGCAAAGGGCGGATACTATGTCATAAGGTCTTCTTCGAGTTGGAGGTAGAGGAGGAGGAGGGAGAAGAGGAGGGGGAGGGCGAGGAGAGGAGAAGGAGGAGGAGGAGGAGAAGAAGGAGGAGGACGAAGAGGAGGATATTGCAGAGAAGGAGGGCTCGTGGGTAGGCGCTGGCCCGCCACATAGGTGGTCAGCAGCGCATCTGCCGACTTCCTGCCCATGATCACGGCCTTGTCGTTGATGCCGTGGGATTCCAGGCACGGGATCACCCTGGGAGGATGCCAGACTACTCTACCCTCCTCCAGGTTCCTCCCCCTGCTCCTCCAAGCTTCTCCTCGATCCGCCGCCTCGTTCGATCCATCTCCCCCGTCATTCATCCGTCGATGCTCCATCTACGCGACGAGTCGAGAGCAAACGCGATGGGATCCGAAGCTTCGAGGTGAGGAGGAGGAGGAGGAGGAGGTGGAGGAGGAAGAGGAGGAGCAGGAGCAAGAGGAGTGGCAGGAGGGGGAGGAGGAGGAGGAGGAGGAGGAGGAGGAGGAGGAGGAGGAGGTGGAGGTTGAGGAGGGGGGGACGAGGACGAGGAGGGAGGAGGGGGACGGGAGGAGCAGGAGGAGGAGGAGAAGCAGGGAGGAGGAGGAGGAGAGATAGAGAGAGAGAGAGGGAGGGGACAGAGAGGCGAGGTGTGTGTGTGTGTGTGGAGGAGGAGGAGGGAGAAGTAGGAGGAGGATAGGAGGAGGAGAGAGGGGGTGTGGAGGCGGAGGAGGAGCAGAGGAGAAGGAAAAGAAGGAGGAGGAGGACGAGGAGGCAGAGGGGAGGGAGGGGCAGGAGGAGAGGAGGAGGAATGGAGGAGGAGGAGGAGGAGGAGAAGGGAGGGAGAGAGGAGGAGGGGAGGTAGAGGTTGAGGAGGAGAGAGGCGGAGGAGGAGGAGAGGAGGAGGAGGGAGGAGGAGGAGAAGGAGGAAGTGGAGGAGTGTGTGAGGAGGAGGGGAGGAGGAGTGGGGTACGCCAGGCATTACTTAGGTGAGGGAATGGAGGGACGGGAGGATGGGAGGAGGGGGGAGGGAGGGTGGGAGGAGGGGAGAGGGAGGGAGGGCGGAGAGGAGGAGGATGAGGAGGAGGAGGAGGAGGAGGGAGGAGGAGAGAGGAGGAGGAGGAGGAGGAGGAGGAGGAAGAGGAGGAATAGGGAGAGGAGGAGGAGGTTCACCGCCCATAGAGGGGAAAGGGTCAGGGGGAAGAAAGGAAAATTGGGGTGGGGGCGCCCTTCAGACGAGAACTTTTTGTTCCCGCCCGAGGCTGTGACCCACCTCGGGCGGGCCCAGCCGACAGGGCCCCCCACCCCCCAGAAACTTACACTTCAGCCTCTGGGTCCGCTTCTCTCGCCGCCCTGGCCTGGGCAGAGGCTCGATCAAGGAGCACCTGCCGACCAAGCTCTTTCACCTCCTCACTGGAGCTGAATCCAAAAGCGAGCAGCACGGAATCCAAGCCGAGGCGAGGGGCCACGGCCTGCTTCGAAAAAAGGACCACCCTCGGCGCTCTTGGAGCCGCGGCCGCCCCACCAGGGGCCCCCCCGAAATGCCTGGAGAAACGGCCCCCGGTCTCCGCGGACGGGGCCTCCGAGGGCCCGAGCGCCACTAGAGGGCGCAACACAGGATGAAAACCTTCTTTCAACCTCTTGCGGACAGTGTACGCTGACCCACCCGAGAGCTTCTTGGGCCTCTTGCGGACACCCACAAGACCTCGCTGCATCGGGGTGGCCGCATACTGCCAACACGACGGGCAATAAATGATCGGGGAGTCATTGGGCACCGAGCTCTGCACCACGCCGTGCCCATTCACTCTCCAGGGCTGAACACCATTGTCTAGAAGCCAGACGGGGTCCTCTGAGGCGGGCCCTGGAGGTTCCGACGCAGCAGCACGAGCAGGAGGCACAGGAGGAGGGGGGACCACGTCTATGGACTCCGCCTCAGGGACCTCTGGGACCGACAAACCGTGGTAGTGCCACAGCCCCAGGTCGATTTTCTTGAGGTACTCGACCCCGACATTGTCCCGAAATTCTGACGAGGCCATCGAGGCCACAAGCTGGGCCGAAAACTTGGCCGCAAGCTTGGCTAACAACTGGCATCCTTCTACCAGCTCTACGTCACAGACGGCGGCTCTGGCATAAGCCGCCCCTCTCTTGGCGAAGCCATCTGCAGCATTGTTGTCGTCTCTGTCGAAAGGCGAAATCAGGTCCCTCTCAACGCTGGCAGCCGACGTGTGGGCCTTGACGCGCTCAAACGGCCGAGCACGGAAATCTTCGCGCGCATGCACCCGCCTCCACAGGTGGGCTCGCGGGTTGCACTCCGAAGTCGACAATTTCGGCGACTGGCAGCAACTTAATGTACCCTTGCAGTCTGCCCGCACAGTGAACTGACCCAAAACATTCTGGGCACACACCAGCACGGCATAGTCTTCGCCATCTCTGGCCGCGCCCGAGATGCCGATGTCAGGCGGCACTGCTCTAAAAATCGCTCCGACGTAGCACCACGCTCCAGCCTGCAACTCTGCGGGGCGGGTGGCGCTGGTCCAGACCCGTCCCAACTGTGAAGACGTACCCTCCTTCCGGGAGGATTGGCAGCTGGAGGGCGCCGCGCACCTGCATCCCCCAGCTTGGACTGAAAGGTGGTCTCCCCACGCACAGGCCAGGCCCAGGAAACAACCCCCTCGCGAACCTTTCCTTCCAAGCTGGCGGACTCTGCCTCATTCTGCCGGCCGATCTGGCCAACTCTGTGGGCATGCAGTCCCGTCGAAAAGCATCGCGCGCGGGGCAGGCATAGCAACGGTGAAACATGGTTCCCCGAGCTCCTTCGCACAGTTTGCACACCTGTGGGAGATCTAGTAGGGGCCTCCAGCACACTTCGGTGACCCAGGCATCGTCCTGCAGGCTTAGCGCTCGGACGTCCGAGGCGCGCCTAGCCGCGAACGAAATCTGAGCTGCTATACAGGCAGGCGAATAAAATCGCAGATCCCAGTCGACCCCCCGACCGCCCACCAAGGTCGCCCGCCCGTCCGACGCATCCCCCCCCCCCCCCCCCAGAT